TTAAGATCCTTAGACAACCATCAGTCTCTGATCTGCACATCACCTTGGTATGACTGTCCAGCAAGGTTTTCTCTAAAAGTTAGTGATTCCTTAGCCAGAGTTCAGAGTTGTTTATCTCTCATCTGTATGACTTTTAATTGACTTGGCCTTGGGCACCTCCTTCTGAATAAACTGATGGGTATTGAAAGCAAATGAAATCTGGGGGAAAAAAAAAACCATCCTACTGGGACAAAAAGCATAGTTGGCCCTGCTTGAAGCAAGTAGAGCAAGGAGTGTTTCTAAGGCTTTTTTTTTTTTTTTTGGCTTAGGCCAGTTAGGTGGCAGAACTCTGAGGCAAGGCTAAAACATTTAAGTTTACAATATATGCTGACTAGTTTTTGTTAATAAATAGCTAGTGTTAATTCACCAGCAAGTCTGAGTCTACATTCTGACCTTGATGGTTTGCATAGTTTGTGATAGTACCAAAGCTAGTACTGTTCATGCCATGAGGATTTTAAAATCCTAGTAGACTTTCACCAATCCTGCCCTGTTTACTGTTGAATAGCCACAGATGAGGCTGGGCTACTTTGGAGCCTGGCTCTGGGACATGGGCCTATAATTTCAGTTACTGCTTCAGCTCCTAGCTGAAGATTGGAAGGTTTGTTAAGACAACTGAATTAGCCTCATTAAATGTGTTTAAAACAAAAGGCAGAGCCCCAACTCTTGGGTCTTTTCTCCCTCTCTCCAGATGAACTATATTTTATTTCCTTGGTTGAAACAGCAACTGGAATTAGTAACAAATACCATGCAACCTACTCCATTATACAGTTAGATTGGAAAAGAACCAACTTTAAGACTTAATATGTCTGCACATTCAAAAAGGAAGACAAGGGTTTCTATCCTACTGATTGTGAAAATACACCTCTTCAGGAAGGGCCCATATTCTCATTCCACTGGAGACAACTTGTACACTAGATTTATGTTTCTTAACTAATTCAGGCAGACAGGAACTTTCAAAGAAGTCCTAGATAAAAGGACTGGAACTCAAACCACGCATTAAGTTTCACATGTATCCCCACAGTCCCCACATGCTTTCTCTACTGTAAGATTCAGAACTAGAGGAAAGAAAAATGACATCTCTGTGTGAGACGTGGAAGTGAAAGGGTGCTTGGTACACTGACAAAATGACAAGTTGAAGGCCTGAGTCCCTTTCACTTCCCAGATAGATCAGGGATAGGAAAAAAAGGCTTAACCACTCATCATAATCAGTAGTCAAACACATGGATTTTCCTAGAGCATGTCTACACTTGGTTGTGAAAATGACTTCCAGGAAGGCAGATCCCAACCTGGTACCCCTTTCAGTACATGCATAGCACCAATGCCCTAGAACTATGTATTTAGTCTGAGCTTCTGAAGCTGTTGCTCTAGGTCAGTCCCTACTGGATGAGTTAAAATAGGTTGGTGGAGACACTTTTCTACAAGGCACTTGTTTTTCCAGCTACTTGCCAAACAGACCTGAAGAGCAGGTCTGCTGTAGCTGTGGGTGGTGAAAGCAGGGATGAAGGCAGCCTAAGACAGGACTCCATGGAAAGTACCTCCTCATTCAACAGCTGTTTTTAATTGTTTAGCTTTCCCCAGGAGGAGCGAGGAGTCAGCTATGAAGGTCAGGTCTTGACACTGGAACATGTCTCTAGATTTCTTTTCTCCCCCTCGGTTCTGTTTTTTTTCTATTTTTATTGAAAATCTATTTTATTGATACTGAAATAGCCCTCGTTTCAGCAGTAAGACCTTATGTGGGGCAGAGACTGAAACAGTGGATCTGGGACTTTCCTGGTGGTCCAGCAATTAAGACTCCACGCAGGGGGTAAGGGTTGGATCGCCCCATTGAGGAACTAAGACCTCACATAGCCTGAAAAAAAAAAGGGGGGGGATCTACTTCCACTGCCTTACATAATTAAAGATATGTGGGAAAATCAGTTTGAATGATGCCTAGAACTAAAGTTAAGACAAAGCAAGCTTTTGACCCCTACCCCAAAAGACACCCAGAAGTTTGGTCCTGAGGCCTACTCATCTCCCTGTGAACTCTAGGACCTTGTCTCACTTCCTGTCTCAGGTGTAACAGCTTTCAGAGGCCTTACTTGAGTTCTCATATCTTCTTCCTGCCAGAAAAAGCCTTGAAGCTGGAACACGCACTCCACCTGCCAACAGCAGAAAGAGGTCAGCCCCACAGCAGTGCTGACCAACTTGGCCCAAAGCCCCAGCTAATCAGTAAGCTCCCAGACACAGCTGTACATCTCTCCATAAGGGGACATGAGGGAAGGGGGTGACCAAAACATACTTTCTCAGACCGGAAGCAACATTAGCAAAGGGGAGGTAAGGTATTTTTCTCTTAAAATCTTAAAAAAAAAAGTTTAAAAAGTTGCAAAACTAAAGTTAAAGCCTAATTGTGTACTAAACAAAAATAGGTAGAAACATTTCTAGAAGGAATACAAAGACATTACTCTGAATTTTACTTGTCACAGTTTTCTATATATTTTATCAGCAGTTTTTCCAACTTAATTTTTAGCCTTTTTTTTCCTTCAAAATGTTTTATTTGGTTTACAGTCAATTTTGTTGTTCAGTCACTAAATTGTGTCCGACTCTTTGCAACCCCATGGACTATAGCACGCCAGGCTTCCCTGTCTTCCACTATCTCCCAGTTTGCTTAAATTCATGATTCATGTCCATTGAATCAGTGATGCTATCTAACCATTTCATCCTCTGCTGCCTTCTCTTTTTGCCTTAGGAAACAGCTCTTATTTAATAGGACTGACCAACCCCTTCCAACTAGAGTTGGGGGGAGGAGGGAGTGGGAAGCCATTGTAAATTGAAACAAGAGCTCAGCCTTATTCCCAGAATTCTATTCCACCCCACAGAATAAACTCTAGTAGCATCACTGAACCAGGTCACACAGTGGTACATGGGGAGTTCCAGATCACAGGTTTCATCATGGAGAACAAGCCTCCAGCCCAAAACCTTGTCTGGTAATCTCACAGAGACTGCCAAGTGGCTGTTTATTGCTTGGGCATTTGTAAAGTACCTACCATAGATGGGCATGAGACAGTTCTAACAACCATCTGGTACCTTAAAGCATCCACCACTTCATATGCTTTTGGTTTTTTGAGGGAGAAGATTCTGGTCACCTCAGCTGGAAAGGATTTCAAATGCCTTAAACCCTGGGGTCAAATTGTCTGTTTCTCTAGTTCTGGGGCCCTGCTGTTAAAATGAAGAGCTTGGCATGTGCTGGTCCGTCAATCTCCCAGGTTTCCATCATCACTGTCATCACTGTGACTACACTCCAGCTGGTAGGTGGGACCACCAGAGAAAGAACAGCACAGTCAATGTTAAAAATGTAGTTTGCCGCAGGGGGACGGGTAAGGAGCTGGGCCATAAGACAAAACCCACCTAGCCCTATGAGAAAAAGGCCAGAGGATACTGAGTCCTTCTTCTAAAAGGATTCAGCTGGGAAACCCTACAAAAAGGTAATAAACTCATTTTTGGAAGATTTAATGCAGTATTTAAGACTGCACTGTCAACCTCCCCCACTCTTCACCCACCTTCCCATAAGAGCTTTGCCTTGGCCACACAATGGTCAGTGCTCTCCTCTTGGGGCCTATTTCCTTTACACTCAGTTTAAATTCAAAATAGGGAAAAATTGCACTTGAGAATGAATCATTCATTTTATTTTATTTTGTCATGTGCTCACAGCATCTTTCTTTCTCTCTCTCTCCTCTCCCTGGCAGGTCACAGAGATAAATTAAAAATAAATCTACAAGGAAATAATTTATAAAAGCACTTCCCAGGCTCATGCCTTCTATCCCTACTGCTCAGTTAGAACGCCTCCCCCTCCAAGTGGGGAAGAGAATCAGTGCTTCCCCCCACTTGAACTCATTCCTGTTAGTCTGGGGCAGACAGTACTCTAGACCCAGGCAGAGGTGGGGACAGCAGTAGGAAACAAAGACATGGGTCCAGGAACCACATGGTCACCTTGGCGCTCCCCTCTCTGCCTCCCCCAGGCGGTCCGCCAGAAGCCCTTGCTAAACTGGGGTACAGAGAAGCTGCCTGCGGCCAATAGCCTTGGGGAAGGGGTACCCTCAGCCCCTCTTACATGCACTTCTCATTCTCCTAGAAAGAAACCCAAAAAGAAAGCAGACAAGAGACCTCGGGACAGAGGAGAAAAATCCCAAGTGTTCACACGGTTACACGGAGTCTTTATGGCAAAGAGAACATTTAGCAGCTTTGAATATTGGGGTATCTCCTTTTTACTCAACACAAGCATTCTAGACCCTACAAGTGAAACAGGGCTCAAACCCTAAAAAAAAAAAAAAAAAAAAAAAAATCAAAGCGCAAGAAACTCTAAAAGGACTAGTTTTTGTCGTCGTTGCTGGGTTTCATATTTTTTGTCTTTCCAGTGACAAGCCCAGTTGTTGGGAGGGGAGGCCTGAGGGAAGGGTCACTCCCCAATGTTGTGCTGAATACTGCCTGGCTTCTCCACATCATCCCCCTGCCTCAGAGCAGCTTCCAGGAGGCTGCAGGCCCAGCACTGGGGGCACTGCCAGCACCCCAGCTGCAGAAGAACTCCAGGCAGCCAGTGAGGGGCGGGGGCACACGGGCAGGAGGAGAACAGCATTCGCATGCAGGCTCTGATGGAGATGTGGGAGCCTCGGCTCAGGGGTGACTGGGCACAGAGGAAGATGGATGGCAGGGCAGTTGAGTGACATGCTTGGTTGGGGCTGCTGCAACACAGGGCCTGTGACCCTTGCCTGTTTACTGTTTCATCCTAACTCTTCAAGTCAGTGTCGGGTCCCAGTGGCTCCCCTATGACTGAAACCTCACAGAAAATATCATCTAAGAGCTCCCCTTCAGGGATGCCAAAGTGCAGGGGCAGGAGAGTTCAGAAGCCCCTTCCAGAACCCACTCCGTGTTCCACCCCTCCCCTGGGGTGAAGTGGGGTTTACTCACACCAAATGATCTAGTCTCCCCTAAAACCTGATGCCTGGAATCCTGGCCAGAGTCAACTTAACCTGCCCTTTGATTTTCTTCCCGCTTTGATTTTTCTTCCCCTTCCTTCCTTCCCCTCCAGGAAATGAGACTGACTTTCTACTACCTCCCCCTCCACTCACAAGTCCCTTCCTTCCCATCTGTCCGCTTCCAGCAATGCCAGCACCACCCTTCCCCTGAAGGAAAGGGGAAGGAGTGAGGACCCTGTCCACCCAAACGGTCTGGCCACTTCCACTCCCCTCAGCGGGGGAAGCTGAACCAGACAGCGCCTGCCTCGTCCTGTCCACTGACCCGCAGTCGTCCCCTCTGTGAAGATCTATTAGATAAGAAGGCATTAAAGTCCCCGCTGTAGGTCCAGGTCCAGGCCCAGCCCTTCTCCAGTTCCCATCTCGGTGAGCATCAACCCCCTTCCTCCCCAGGCTCACTTTCTCCGGTCCTTCGGCTTCCTCTCCTGCCGCCGGGCCTGCTGGTCGGCCAAAGTGCGGGGAATGAGGAGGACGCTGCCGTCCCCAGCATACTGGAGCGCATACTGACTGGGCGAGTAGGGCCGCCCGTTCTCATCCCGCAGCCGCCCAAACACCTCCTGGTACAGGCTCTGGACCTTCTGCTTCATCTGCCGCAGGGACCGGAGGAACTCCACCTTTTCCCGCAACAGCCGAGCTTTATCACGCTGCAGGTCCTCCACGTCCCGCTCCAGGTTCAAGATGGTGTCCAGCTTGCGCTTGCGGCAGTTCTGCGCCGCCATCTTGTTCTTGCCGCGGCGCCGGATGTCACGGATGAGGCTCAGCTGGGCCTCACTCAGCTGGTACTTGGACAGCAGCTCGTTGAACTCCTCCACAGGCAGGTTGATGATCTTGTCATTGGTAAACGGGATCTTCATGGCTCGGGCTCGATGCTCATCCCGGCTCATCTGCTTGTCCAGGAAGTCGGCCTGCTTCTCCTTGCTGCCCTTCTTGAGAGTGCTGGGGGGTGGCAGGTCAGCAGAGTCGAGGGCACTGGGCGCCATGTTGTACGTGTGGTTGTGCCCAACGTGCTCCAAGTAGGGCAGGCAGGAGAGCTGAGACGGGTCCTGATAGCTCATGCGGCAGAACTTGGAATACTCAGGCTGGTAGCCCACAGCGCCCTCAGCCTCTTCCAGATCCAAGGTCTCAGAGTCAGAGCTATAGCCAACCGCACCTTCCTCAGAAAAGGAGGAAGAGGCTGAGGAAGAAGCAGAGGAGGAGGAAGAGGAGGAGGAAGAGGAGGAGGAAGAAGAACTACCTTCAGAGCTGCTCAGGGAGGAAGGGCTATGGCTGGAGTCCAAGGAGAGGCCTGAGTCAGAATCAAATTCTTCTTCGAGCTGGGAGGCCTGCACTGGGTTAAAGCCTTCTTCAATGGCCAGGTCCATCAAGCTGATTTCATCCAGCATGGCTTCATCTAATAGACCCCCCAGCGGATCAGGCAGCTCAGGGCTGGCTGTGTCATTGGCCGTGCCATTGAGCTGTGGTGGAAAGAAGAGCCCCGCCAGGTTGGTGGAACCAAAGGTGGAGTTGAGGCTGGTGGAATTGCTGGGGACCAGCGGGAGCAGCGTGGAACTACTGGCCACAGGCAGGCTCTCCACCTCCGGGCTGAAGAGTGAGAAGTCCTGGCTGCAGCCCCCCAGGGATGCCTGATGCAGGCTGACATTCTGATTGATGGGAGTGTTGGGGGCAAGGCTGTAGTTGGTGCTCAGTGGGTCTCCTGGAGGGGCATTATACAGGATTTCACTTGTTGATGTGTTCACTTCCATGGCCTGGGAGGAGAGACGAGCGTCACCGTTCACTCTGCGCAGATTCCCTCCCCTGGTGTGGCCGGGGCCTCACACTAGCAGGCACCCAACACAGGCATGGCCGCCTGGGTATAAATGCAAGAGATGGGAAACCAGAGCTCACTTGATCCACCAGGCCTGGCAGAGATGGGTTCCTCCCTGTGGACTCCCCCCAAGGCAGAACTGATGGGCTCCCGGTCACCTCTGGCCAGTCTCCCCCATCATGGAGGGAAAGGACAAAAGCTCCTAACACTGAGAAATCAGCACAGTGAAGCGAACACCTGGCCTTGCAGTGAGCCAGCCTAGCTGCACCACTTGCTGTTAAGACCAGAAGCATTTCACTCAGCCTCTCTCTGAGCTTCAGTGTCCTCACCTTTAAAATAATAAAAGGGCTGGCGAGATGATGTGAGGGCCAAGTGACATGACAATGGCTGCAAAGGACTGCAGGAATGTCAGCCTGTTTTAATGCCAAATCTAGGAAACACCTAGCCAAGTGATTACCTGCCTGAAGGAAAGGAAGAAGGTGCACCTAGGAGGCAGGCCTGCTTTAGAAGCCTCAGTTCCAGGGCTGCTTTTCCCCAACCCCAATCCTGACTCCACCCACTACTGCCCCAATGAGACACCTGGACAGTTACATCTCGGTATCCCCACTTTCCTTATGAATCAGAAAGGTGTTACTCTTTCTTTACCCAGAAGTGGAAAAGCAACTGAAAATGAAGATACCCCAAGCAAAGTCCGACAGGTTTGTGCCTGGTTCTGATAATCCTACCTGCATTTCCATGATGGACATGAGATCTTGCCACTGCTGTTCCAAATCAAATGGTGACTCTGTCCCAGTCAGGAGAGGAGACAAAAGGTTGTTCTGAAGACCTGGGGGCTCACTCTCACTAGGCACTGCTTCTGTTATGCTGGAAATGTCTGCCGGAAACTAGGGCAAAACACAGAAGGTTTAACAGGGGAGGAGGAAAGACCACCTTCTGCCTTCCTCCCGAGACTACCGCCTGAGGCTCTGTATCTTCCTTCCTCTGAACTCACCCCCAGCAGCCAGGAGAGGGCCAACACCAAAAGCTGGCCCCCTGGGCAGTCACAGAGACACACCATGTGCAGGCTACCCTGCTGGCTCAGTGGGCTCTCCCTAGAGTCCTGCTCACCTCAGCATTCTCCCCAAAGGGGCAGGTGGCCTCCAGCAGCCTAAGGCACTCTTCCAAGGACAGGGCTGTCTGGTCCTCCCCACCAGGCACCTGTGGCAACAGCAACTGTTAAGTCTGACTGACCCAGGCCTTGGCTGCCTGTGGGCCAAAGCCCCTTCCCCAGCCTTTCCAAGGGAAAGCTGGAAGGAGGCCTTGTGTGGTCGTAGGGCTACACTCTCCCTACTTCCCCAGGCTATCGGCTTGCCGCAAGCCCCAAACTCCAGGGGAGAAGAGAGTGGGAGGGTTCTGATGCAAGCGGACAGCCACTAGGTGCTCTGCCTCCCGCGTGCTGTTCTTTATAAGGTGTGGTCCCTCCACTGCTGCTGCGGCTCTTCCACTCCCACTTCCTCAGCCACCACTGTGACTTGATGATGTGAGATCCCATCACTGAGATCCCAACCCGAGATATACATTCAGGCCCATCCCACAGACACACACTGCCTTCTCTAAAGAGAAGTTTCTAGAAGTAGGCAGAGGTGGGAGTACCTGTGCAGGGAAGCTCTCCCCAGTCTCTCCATCCACTAGCAGGTTTCGTGCCAGAGCTTCTGCACCCTCGCCTGGCCATGTGTCCTCTTGCTCTGCTCCATCTTGCAGTTCCTTATCCACATCCTGCTCCTTCTGGCGATGACTGTAGTCAAAAACCTCACGCCCAGCCCCCAGGTCAATATCCTGTCGCCAAAGGATGTCAATCAGATCTATGTCCTGAAAGATAGAGCACCATGACTTTAGCTCTGGGGTCCAGGGGCCCCTCCCTGTCCTGCTCCTTAGAAGTCCCTCCAAGCATCACCCCAACTACTCCTGGGTGGGGTCGCTCCCAATCTACACCTGCCAGCTTCTACTGCTGTCCCCTCCGTACCAGCAAGGTTTCATTCATCTATTTCCAGACACCAGCCTCCAAAACAAAAAGAGAGAGAGCAAAAACCTCTAGCATGACTATCACCACACTAGCCTGTGTGCTTAGGATCTGGACCAGACACACAGCCAGGCCAAAAGGCAGGGCAATCTCACCACAACTTAAGAAGGAAGGGCAAAGCAGAAGACAGCTCTCATTTTGGGAACGGGAATCCCTTAAAAGCTGGTTTGTAGAAAGATGGCCATGGCAAGCAAGGGTGAACTGTAAGGCAGAGTTGCTTCGCAGTGGCCAGGCTTGCATCAGCTTATGGTGCCATTGTATTTGCATAAAGGGGTGGGGTGGGCTGGAGAGGAAAATCCCTGCATTTGCAACCACCTGATGCAACCAATGACAACTACAGGCTACCTCCAGCCCTTCCTACAGCCATTCCCCCTCTCCCTGGCTGAGGCAGGAGTACGGATAAACACGCACAACTCTTAGCCCAGGCTCACCTCAAGATCCATCCCTGCTAGAATGCCCACTCTCAGCTGATCCCAGCAAGCCGCCTCAATCCCCGGAGAGCCTCAAGCGGTCAGATGATCCTCATTGGGCACCCCACCCCTGCCAAGGCCAGCCCCATAGTGTCCCCTCACACCAGTGCTCACTCCCTTACCACACCCCAGGACTCACTGACTGCCATCAGTCAACCCACTCAAGGACATAGCCCCCATCACCGCCCAGCCACAACTGCCGCCTTGGGCACCAAAATGCCTCCCTCCCACTCTACCCTGGCGCCTCCTGATCAGTTCCTGCTCCAACTGCCACCCCCATTGCCACCCAGCATACCAGCATACAACCCCAGTAAATAAGAGACATTTGGATTTCCTATACATGCATGTGGCTGAAGAAACCCTGAACTGTTGCCTTCCGCTCAGATGTTAAAAGGCAGATACTTTCCATAAAGCATTATCCTTAGCGTAGAGCTTAGACCCACCTCCCTAGCTCTGACAGGGCATCTCGTTCCCACCGTAACCCTAATTCTAAGACCTCCCAGGTGTCTCCCCCACCCCCCAGTCTCCCCACACACACCAACCTGAACAGAAGCCCTGGACCCAGAAGCAGAGGGGGGCTGGGCCACCCGGTGACCAGCCACCAAAGAGTTAAGGGGCCGGCTCCCTTTGGCATGGCCCCCACCACTGTGAGAGCTGCGGTCCAGACGGGTCATGGTCTGCGAGATGAGCCCCAGGGCAGCTGGTGCCGGGCAGCCGGACAGGGGGCTCCAAGGAGCTCGCGGCTCTCAAGGAGCAAACCAGGCTGGAAGGGTGGCCCCTTGCTAGCTCCGAGGGGCCCAAGGAGGGTGCCCCGCCCGTGCTGCTGCCTGGGCGGCCCAGCCCAGCCCCCTTTCTCCATCCTGAAGCAGCCCCCTCCCACCTCACAACCCCAGTTCCACTCAGGCGCCTGGCAGCCCCCACCCTGAGCTCACCGCAGAGGCTGCAGTGAGATGGGACTCCCACCCCATGCTCCGTGCTCAAGCTGCAGAGGAAAGCAAGCTCCCTCCTGGGCCTATCCTCCCGCTCCTCCCTTTCTCCCCCTTCCCATGCCCCCCAAACTTGTTACCTAGGCTGCAGCAAGGAGCCAATCCCCTCCCCCTCCCACCCCGCAGGTCACTGCTGAGGCTGCAGAGAGCCAATCCCCTCCCCCAGGTCAGCAGCTGGGCTGCGGAAAGAGCCAATCCCCTCCCACTGTCGTTACCTAGGCTGCGACGAGAGCCAATCTCCTCCCCCAAGTCTCCGCTGGAGATGCGGAAGGAGCCAATCCCCTCCCACCGCCTGTTACCTAGCTGCAGCCGGGAGCCAATCTCTGCACCAGGGCAGCTGGAGAAGCTGCCGCAAGGAACCAGCCCATCCCTGGGCCGCCTCCGTCTCCTCAAGGAGACGCACCCAGGGGCGGGCAGCCCCACCCAGCCCAGTCAGCCAGCCAGGGTGGCGCAGTGAGAGAGCCCTGGGGGGAAGGGGTGCCACTCTCCCTCCTGTCGCATCCTGCTTACCCAGCCCACTCAGGACTGGACAGACACTCCTCCCGCAGCTTCCCTGGGAATCTAAGTTCTTCCCTGGAAGTGGAAGGAGTGTTCCCATTCCTCTGCAGGGCTGTGGCCAGTCGTCCTCAAGACCAAGGATCAAAGCTAGGCTGGGCAGGAACCCAGTGAGCCCAGATCCACTGGGAACCAGGGGCTTTGTCACCCTAGGGCAGGCCAGATGAGAGGAAGGGGGAAGCCATCCACACTTATGCAGGGATGTCATGGCGCTGGCCCAGCCTAGGCAAAAGGGAGACAGGAACCTGAAGGCCAGCACTGAACGGTGCTCTGCAAAGTCCTGGACACAAAAACATCCCCCCGCCCTTAACCCCAGCTGTTTTCAAGAGCATTCTCTGCCTGAGCCCCAGCTCACATCTATAAAGCAGAAAATAAGACCCTGAAAAAATCAGGGTCACAGTTCTGGCTCCCATCCTCACTGCTGCTCCCCTTGCACCTAAGGTCAGGTCAGGGACAGTATGTTCTCCACGGTCACAGACTGCTCCTCCTCGCCTGCTAAGAGCTGTACACAGGCCACCCCCCGCTCTGGGCAGAGTGCCAACCTCGAGGGGAATCCTATCCCTGACAAGGGCCGGGGCTATAGCTGTCCATCGAATAGGCCTGGCAGCAGGGGAGTGCTGCCACCCCGGGGATAATACCAGCTCCAGCAGTGCCTGTCACATGCTCTGGACCTGGGTATTTTTATCCCTGAGTTGCTGAGGAAATGTTGTTCTAGACACAATAATCCTCCCTTCCCCCACACCCAGCCTGGGCCCCTAATGCTGACCCATCCTTAACCTCCAAAGGGAGCAGTGAAGGCCTGGGGTCAGGAAAAGAACGAACTTCATGAAGGCCAAGAAATGCAGGGCAGCAGGGTCAAAGTTCCAACCAGTCCAATTACATTGAAAATGTCCCATCCCATCCCAGGAGAGCTTCCTGCAGGAAGAGGAATGAAGCTACGCCTGCAGGGTTCCCAGAAGCAGAGTTCCCAAGCCCAATTATACCCACCCCTTGAGGAGCTACCATGGGGTGGGAGGACGGAAGAGGAGGCTGGGAGGCACACTTCTTCAGACCACTGGGCCAGACTGGAGCCCATTTGAAGGAAGAGAACAGAGGAAGCAGAGAGAGGGGGCACTGTAAGAATCTCAGAAAAGAGGCACTGCAACGCAAGGAGTGCTCATGGCCCCCTGGCTCAGATAATTCTAGTCTCCCTCAAAGTAGAGCTAGTATAAGCCAGCTCAGCACAGAGCAGCCCTGGCACGATGAACATTTGGGGCAGGTCAATCGGTTACTTAGGGGCTGTCCTGTGCTTTTTAGGAAATTCAGCAGTATCCCGTGCCTCTCCCCACTAGATCCCAATTACACCTTTTCCAGTTGTGACAACCAAAACTGTCTCTAGACACTGTCACATGTCCCCTGATACCACAAAATCATCCCCAGTTGAGGACCACGGGCCCAGAGGAAGCCACATGATTTGACAGTCACTAACATTCAGAGACCTGAACTCAGGAACAGACTTGAAGGCAGGATGGGAGGCAAAACCTGGTCTGATTGGTAGACAGAGCCAAGTTTCTACAGCTTCTGTAAAAGTTTCAACGCATCTTCACACCCTCCTCTTCCCAAACACTCCCCCCATGCACCCTTGCTTCAAGACTCAGCCCTGGAAAACCCAGCCCAGTGCAATCCCTCTTTCCCTAACAGCCAGGCAAGCAAAGCAGACCTTTTCCCAAGCTCTTTAAGACTGCGTGGCAAGACAAAGTCAAAAGCAGAGTTCAAAGCCATCCTATCACACTGGCGGAGCAGGGGCAGCAGAAGCCATTTAACACTCTTAAAGGCAACTGCATCACCTTCTTTCCAGAACAGAATGTCAGCCACTCATCAGGAGTTCAGATCTCTGACAGTTCAAAGCAAGCTGACTTCAGCAGCAGAATGCAGTTTCTCTTCTAGCTTCCAGCCCTCCTGTCCCTACTCCCTGCAGTGGGCCTTTAGCAAAGAATGGGAGCCTGGCCCTCTCCTGGCCAAGAATAACTATCTAAATCTACCCCCTGGCTCAGGCCCAGGAGAGCCGCCTTATCAGGACCTTACAACAACAACAGGCCTGACCACAAAGCAGGAGAACTTTAGGATATGTATGTGTGTTTTGATGTGGGGGGAGGTACAAGGCAACAGTCCACAAAATATCTGTGTCTTAGCAACCGATATACAGCGCATCAAAGCCCATCACAACATGACTCCCTCCCCCACCCCAGGCCTCTAGGACTCATGTTGAAATCCAAGCAGTAAACACACAGGCATGTTCTAGGAACCTCCCACTGCCCTGACAGTACATTTAGAGGTGGGTCGATTCTAGTCAGAGAGTCCAGCCCATTCCTAACCAAGATCAATGCCCGAAACTCCTTGGAACCTCTCTGGTTCTTTACAGTGCTTAGTACAACAACCATACTCCTTCAGGACCAGCCCAACCCACCCCCCAACCCCAGACCCTTCCCACCCACCCCTCCACATTGCCACTAACCTCTTTGGTTAAGTCTCCACTGACTGGAGGGGCTACAGCTCCCAAATCCTCCAAATCTTCACTGAATCCCTGCTCCGTTTCGCTTTCTCGCACCCCGTTGTCTGGGCCTGTCACATCTTGGAGACCACTGGAACTCTCGAGGGCGAGGCCTGAGCTGGGCTGGCTGCCAGAGACAGACCCCTCTGGATCCCGGTGGACCAGCCAGGCGTTAACCTCAGTAGTTGGCACCTGGAACCTGTCCAGGGCCCTCACCTGATTGAGGAGTCGCCGGGCAGTGAAGTAATTGTCCAGGTCTATGCTCTTGGGGTGGATACCATAGCCATCCAAGGTATTCCTCAGGTTGTGGAACTGGGTCTGAGTATAGGCAGAACTGGGCCCCAGGATGATCTCCCGAAGCGGGGGGAGCTGTGAGGTCAGGTAAGTATCCACGTCCACCCGCACCCCAATCAAACTGAGCAGAATGGTGAACTGGAGGAGTCCTTCCGTTAAGTATTTCTTCAGAGAAAGCATTGCTGAAGGACCAGAATGTTTATGTTTTTTGGTTTTTAAATCTTCTGAAAGACAAATCAAGGCCACTGCTCTGCTGCTCCAGCCAGCAAGTCACCCTCCTCAGTGCCAAACCCTGTACCCCACCCTGGCAGAACACAGGGGCTGAGCTCCCTGATGGCCTCAGAGGAAAACACACCCCTTGGAGCCAAGGCCACACTCCAGACCACATTCACTTTTCCCTTCTTGACACCTCACCTCTGAAAGTACAACTGCTGCTAACCCAGTCCAGGCCCTCAGGCCCACGTGACTTACTGTCTCCACAGTCCACATACAGTCACTTCCTCACTCACATTAGTTGTCCTCTCTGTAGATTCTGTAGATTCCACTGCAGGCTGTTCTCAGAAACAGCTGATGATTTTTTTTTCTCCTTCTCCTTCCTAAGGTTTATTTTCTTTGGCTGGAGCTACAGGCCTTTTGTCTTGGGTCAGAGTGTCCCGCCTCCTCCACACTTACCAGGGGGGTTTCCAGAGAAACCTGAAACAGGAATCACAAAAGCAACAGGATAAGGTTCTATAATTTTCATACCAGGATCAAGGCAGAAGGTAGGAAACATATTAAAAGGCCAATTTTATCTCTGTTAAAAAATAAATCCAGTTATTACACTCCTAGAAAAACCACAAAATCCTGTACAGATAGACAACTATGAAAAGAAGGTACTGGCCACAAGGGATCTCAATATCTGGATATTAATTTTGTGATGCTCTAAAAGGTAGCTCATTTTGGATAAGCAGATAATGCCCAGGGCATCCAAAATATTTTACATGTTATCTGATTTACCAACCCTCCCCCACCCCATTACACACTACCCAGCTTCTATTTTTAGCATGAGAAGTCCATTTCCTATCTTAAAAGAAAGTTTGTTTCCCATCTCTCAGGATAAAACTGCCTAGAATTCTTGTCCCTTCAAGTTCTTAAGAGGAGAATTTATTAATGCGTGGGAGTGTGAAAGGACACCACCACAGAAAAGAATGACACCTTTTGTTTTCCCAACTTTAAAATCCGATTTCTTTTTCCTATTACCTTTACACACACACACACAAAGTGGGGGTACTGGCGGGATGGGAAGGGGTCTGTAACAGGATTATTCTGTCCAGAATTTGAATACGCATGTTTTATTTTCATTCATGTGACCTTCTGATCCAAAGTAGAGGGCTATGGCCAAGTCTTCAACCCAGCCAGCCAAGTGGGGAGGGAGTAAACCTGCCTTTCGGTTCTAGTCTCTACTTTTGAGCTTCCATTAACCTTATAAACCAAGACATAGCCCTCTGATCTCCAAGGCTATGACCCACCTACCAACTTCATCCTAAAGGGAAAAAGACAAACGCACACCCACCCAAAGACAGACAGACACACACACCCCTTATCTGGCTAGAGTAAACATAATTGCGACCCAGAATTCCTGCTTACACTACCCTCCAGGTCTCACGCAATTTACTACTAAAAACCTCCCAAGAGCAATTAAGTTCCAGAAACCGGACAAGGTCCCTTAAAGATCGAGTAATGCCAGGTCTGAGCCCGGTCCCACCCTGCCCCGGATACCCGAGTCCGGCTGGGACCAAGTCGCCATGCCGCTCCTGGCGCCTCGGCTTCTAGCCTTCTGGGCAGCAGCGAACAAGTGCTACTTTCCTGGCCTTGACCCACCCGGACGGCCAAACCCCACCCCGCCCTCCGCCCCTATGGCCCCACCCCGCTCCCAAGCATGGGCTTAACACCACGCCTTCTCAGGCCCTCAGACCTCCCCAGTCCAACCCACCCCGGAGCTGGAATTCTCCACGGCCTTTCGGCCCCTCCCTGCCAGGCCCAGGGCCCGGCCCCGAGGTAAACCCCGCTCCGCCGCCCGCTCCCGCCTCCTGCCCCTCAGCTCCACCCCGCCGCCCTTCACTCTGTAAGCCTCGGTACCGCGGGGCTGTGCCCCTCCCGTTAGGGAAAGAAAGGTGCCTGATACCCGCTGCTGAGCTCGGCGTCCGCCGCTGCCACCACAGCAAGCCCTCAGCCCGAGTCCAGGCCTTGCAGCCGCCAGCGCCGGCCGGCCTAGAGCTCGCCAGCCTCCGCTTCCCTCCCCGCCCCCTCCTTCCACCTCACTCGGAAGCCCGCCCTCCGAGTCCTCCCCGGCAATACGTTTCTCCAATCAAAGAGCCGAGATGGTGGCCGTCGCCGGATGTCGCTTTGACGGATAGTAAAGAGAGCCCAGTAACTGAGTATGCCTCCTTCTCCCTTTACTGGTTTCTCAAGACTGACATGGTCCATGGCCCAATAGGCATGTAGGCCCGCCTCACGGCGTGGGCCCACCAATAAGTGGGGCGAAGGCCACAGCGCCCGGCGTTTGGGACCCCCTCGGCCGTGCTTTGGCCGCAGACGGTATTACAGCCTGGGCATGGAGTGAGGTGAACAGGCTGTGCGCTTCCAGTGCATTCTTTGACGGATATAAGGGCTTAGGACTGGGAATGGGAGATAGTATCACCGCCGGAGCGCGGAGTCCCCCCACTGAGGGTTCCCACGGTGACTTGCAAAAGTCCAGTGAGACCTGAGAGGCCGAGGTAGGGCACAGAGCATGTGTTTCGCCTGGTTTGGACGCTCATGCCGCCATCTTGGGTGCTGGCAGCGGAAACCGGTCTCCCAGCTTCCGCTCCATGAGGGCCCGGCGCTGGGCCCTTTGCCAGTCAGGGATCGTTGCGCCCCTTGTGTGCGAGTCGTGTGGATGGGTTGCCACGAAGGTGATGGGACGTTGGGGATATGAGCGATGTTGCATAATTAGTGATTTTTGCGACGATACAAACACCGTCTCCTCTGTCTGCTCTTCCCCCGCCTAACTTCCCACGCAGCTTAGTTTTGCTTTTCAGAGACTCCTCAGTTTCTAGTGTTCTCCACTCTTTTAACCAACATCTTTGATTTTCGAACGTTGGTTTACCCCCAGCATCACCTTGGGGAGTTTTTAAGCTTGCACATTTTGAGGCATCACACCAGAGTTAATAATTCACTTATCCTGAGGTGGCAGTGTGATAACCTTGCCCGTTTAGTAAACGACCCATAGTGCGAAGACCCCTTAAAAGGGGTCTAAAGACAAGCACTGAGTTGGAGTTCGTAGTACGTTGTTCCTAGCTGTGGGACAGAGGCGTTGACTCAAATTCTTGACTCCCTAGAAGATCCTGTTAATCTAGTGGGCAAGTCATTGGTCCTTGTACAACAAAGAACAAGGCCGACTGATAAGTCATTTGATGAGGTCGAGTCCATCACATGTTTGGAGTTAGGCAGCTAAATCTGGGATGGTTCACAGATTATAAAGCACTTTCACTATACATAAGTATAAGCATTGAATTCTCTGAAAACTACAGAGTTAGTTACCCATTTCAAAGATGGATTCAGAGAGCACATGTTTTATTTTCTCGTTTTACTATTTGTCTTCCAGAAAATGCTAGAATATGAACTCCATTGAGGACTAGAATTTTGTGCATTAATGGTTGAGTCTTTCAAAGCCTAGAACTGTACCTGCAATAGTAGACACTCAATAAATACTTGCTAGGAGTTCCCAGGGGTCTAATGGTTAGTGATATGGGCTTTCACTGTAGTGGCCTGATGGGGAGCTGAGATCCCACAAGCCCACAGGGTAGCTATAAAAAAATAAATAAAATCTGGGGGGGGGGGGGGCTTGCTGAGTAATTGAAGGGGAACTCAAGCACTCCAGTGATTAAAAGTTCTTGTTAAAAACAGAAATTAATCCTTGGAGGAGATGTGGTTTGGGAGGATATGGCATATTATCAAGGAAGTAGATGGCCATTCAGCCCCTGAATAAGACCAATATTGGATAAGAACAGAGGAGGAATTAAGGTGAAATCAGTAACTCTAAAAATATATCAAGGGGGTTAAGAAGAAAATATTTTAAAACCAAAGTATTAGAAGATACCAAGGCTAGACTAAAGTTACTGGGCTTAAATACAAGACTATTTTGAGAAGATAGGAGGGACTGCATACGAAGAGTGGCCATCTGTTTGACATAGCAAATAGAGAACAAATTTAAACCTTGACACAGTTCTGAGAAAACAACTGAGCAATCTTTTTATCTATGGGGAGTCAGGGAACCTTAGCACAAACAGAACTGAATGTGTTGGACAGTCTGTATTTTCCAAGTTTCTTTTGAGCTGCACAGTAGGGTACCAGGTGTCTGGGATGAAAAATAAGGTTGTTAGTACATGTAAGAGTAACATGAAATCAAGATGAATGTTTACTGAAATGGCAGCTGTGGGTGGAAAAGCTACACCAGGGACATCACATGTGATATTCTCACATCACTGTGGAAGCCTTAATTCACTTGGTCACTTTTTAATCACTCACAGGTTTGCTGAGATAGCCCTCTAACCCACTGTCTCCTTTCCTTTCTCTCCTTTCTGGGGTCTTGGGTGTGGAGAGTTGCAGGTGCTGAGGATAGGAGGGGCTCCCTGTTCAGCCTTCGAGAAGGGGTGGGAGAAGTGTGGAGAGGTCAAGTACTATGTTTAAATGTGTATAATAATTATTTGAGCCTAAAGTGGGATAGAGCTGAATTGGGAACTGTTTTGTTGATGAAAGAATGACTAGGTGTAGTCAGAAAGTTTTTTGCTTAGTGGTTACTGAAAAGGTGGGAAGAAAAAAAGGAAAGACAAAGAATTGCTGGCCCATTGCAAGGGCTAAGGAGAATCAAGATGTAGAGACACTGTCAGCAGCCGGTGATGAGGCCTGGCAGGGTGTGGGCACCCAGGATATTTAATAGTACTCTGTGTAGGAAGCGGAGATTGAAAGACTGTCTTGTCTTCCACTCTGTCTATAGAGTTTCAGATCAAGTCTGAGCAGGTGCAAACCTCCTTCCCAGAACCCACTCATTAACCTTCTAAAATCCAGGGTGTATCCTTTTTCACCCAGGAAGCCTCCCTCTCCCCCACATCCCCGCACCACCCCCCCTCCCCGCCGCCTTTCTCTGCCTGGAACAGCTG